TCCTTGAAATCATATTTGTGATTCATTGTGGTGGTTATGAGTTGAAGCTGATGTGTCTATGTGTACAAAAATTATTCCTTCTATCCATTCTATCTGTCATTCCTTGCCAGCTGAGAACATTTTAATTTATTTATACATATTTATTCAAAATATTTCCAACTTGTCCTTCAGACTTGGATTTTCAAGGCAGCTTACAAAAACATATTAAAGCCATAGATATAGTAACACCATAGTAACAAATTCAAAGGGAAGGAGGGAGATTTCCCATAATTCTCATGTCTGGGATGGTGCTTTTGCAGCCTTCTAGGTGCCCCAGTGGTGGAAGGGCCCTTTTGCCACAGTTGATGCCCCTGTCTCTTGGTGAGTTCTGGAGAAGGGGAAAGGGTAGTGAGCCTTGGGCAGGAGTAGCTCAGGAGTAGCATGAAGCCACAGCAATAACCTCCCAGCAGGAGTGGCACTCCTGCTTTGTAGGATGGGTGATGCATTGGCGATGGCACGGCTTCGTGGGCATGCAGGATTGTGGGAGCAATGATGGTGTATTCAATTTCTATCCTGCTTCTACTCCCAAAGGAGTCCAGTGCCGCAAACACTGAGGAGTTAAAACAATGCAATTTCAAACAAAACAAAAAATGAACTAAAAGCATGTCAAAACAGAATATATATATATATATATATATATATATATATATATATATATATGGCATTTGGCGGATTAGCATTCTATGGCTTTTAAAATGTGTTTGTGGGAGGGGGTTTGTTGATTTGTTTTTGCTTTTTTGTGCATAATGTAATTTGTGTTCTCATTTTGTATTGTATGCTGTGATCTGCCCTGTGATCTTCGTTCGAAGGCATGCAAATGCAATAAAAAACAAAACGAAACATAATAAAAATGTTTTGAAATGACCCTCCACTGGCTGGCTCCACTGGTGTGTCCACAAAGCACCAGCTTCACTGCCAGCTGGGGCCTCACAATAAATGACAATGATGTTGCTGTCAGGAGGCTATTGCTGCAAATCTGTCCCACTGGGCAAACCACTGCTGGTGGTGGGGGCTTTAGCCGTTCAAAGCAATGAGGAGGTATCATAGAGAAGGAAGCAGGAATACTCTCATTAACATCACTGGGAATAGAACATGGTTTCAAATTCTCAAATTCTGGAATTTGACAACAAACTGTCTCCCCTAATTCTGAAGAAACCAGGTAGTTCACCCAGCGCCGCAGACAGCAACCAAATAATTTAAATACAAACTAACTTGCATGATAAATTATGGAAATGAAAGGATGCCCTGACAACATTCTATGAACACTAATAAAACTGTTCATTATCAAATAAGCGAGGGGAGTCTGAATATTTCAGTTTCTCTGTTGAACATGGCAAATGCGTCTTGGCAACAGGACAATTTATTTCAGGAAATATCAGCAATATCCGTAAAGGGATACAGTTCCTGAAATGTTCTCTCACTATAATAGGTACACAGAAATCTGCACTATCCTTTATGAAGTTTCAAAAGAAAACATTCTCAGCAGTTACATCTATATCAGATTATTACATAATTTGACTCCAATCCATAGAGTGTACATGAAACAACAGGGGCGATCGATACAAAGCTTTCTACATTGCCCTAAACCTCATTTTTTTGGGCGGGGGTGAGGGATGTGTATGGAACGTGAATCCAACCTTCTGTTCTCCTTGAACACCTAATTCTGGAGGGGGTTGACTATTGACATGGGAAGACAACGTTCACACATGGCATCCTTTTACACATGGGGCTAGTCATCCAGCTAGAGATGTATTTACAGAAGTCTGCTTCCCTGTCCATCTAATTCCTAGAGGACTTGGTGTTCTCAAGCTGCCATGCCTAATCCATTTGTAAGCACAATCACACATAAGCTCAGATAATGCTGTCAGGAAACCTTGTTGACTAAAATGTGGTATTGGATATACAATTGCCGGACAAACCAAATGCTAAAGATTAAAGAAAAAATACATTTGAAGCACAGCAATATGATAGTAAGTAAGAGGCGTCATGATAGAAGTATATAATATTATGCATGGCATGGAGAAAATGGAGGAAAGAGAAAAGCTTTTCTGCCTCATAACACTAAGATTCATGGGAATCCAATGAAGATATTGGAAGATTTAGGACAGATAAAATAAAGTACTTCTTCATGCAGCACATAGTTAAACTGTGGGAACTCCCTCCCTGAGGAGGCAGTGAAGGCCAACAACTTGGATTGGCTTTAAAAGAGGCATAAGCAAACTCGGCCCTCCAGATGTTTTAGGACTACAACTCCCATCATCCTTCGCTAACAGGACCAGTGGTCAGGGATGGTGGGAGTTGTAGTCCCAAAATATCTGGAGGGCTAAGTTTGCCTATGTCTGCTTTACAAGAAAATTAGACAAATTCATGGAGGAGAGCACTATCAATGACTACTAGCTGTGATGGCTATAACCTTCTTTCACAGCTGCAATGCTTTTGAATGCCAGTTGCTGGAAACCACGGGAGGGGAGAGTACTCTTTTGCTCATGTTCTGCTCCCTGGTTTCCCACAGGCATCTGACTGACGGGAGTACAGGATACTGGACCATTGGATTGATCCAGCAGGATATTCTTATGTTGTTATGTATTTGTCTGCATTCAGGGTGCATTTCCCTGGCAAGACATTTTCCTAGGGTGGTTTGATCCAAGGAACTTGGACGCTCTTTGAAATCCAAGGATCTGTTTTCAGCCAAGTAAATCAATAAATGTTGCAACTAGGCAACTTTGAAATAGTTCACATTAGGAAGCTTATCATACTCATTTTCAGATAATAAGCCAAATGAGCTAATATACTTGAGTACATACAGTGGTGTTCCTTCCTTGTTCTCAGGTTGCGTTTATTGTGCCAAGCTATTTATTTCCAAATGCAAGAAAAATGTTTCAATCTACCTCAATCCATCATTTTGAAGTAGATGACAAACATAATTGGGAAGAATATAAATGGCTTCTGAGTTAATATTAAGAAGAAGAGAAGAGTTTGGATTTGATATCCCGCTTTATCACTACCCGAAGGAGTCTCAAAGCGGCTAACATTCTCCTTTCCTTTCCTCCCCCACAACAAACACTCTGTGAGGTGAGTGGGGCTGAGAGACTTCAAAGATGTGTGACTGGACCAAGGTCACCCAGCATGGAATGGAATGATCAGGTGGTGAGAGTTAGTCAAGCAACAACTGGTTAGCCACAGATTTCCCATCCCTTCATTAACTTGAATTAATTTCACATACAGCTGTGTAGTTGTGTAACTGTAAACTTCAGAATCATATCGTTTATGAACAGAACCATTAGATGCAATGCATTCTATTCCTTTTATAATACTATATAAACCACCAACATTATTTATTTGTTTTCAAAAAGGTCTGCTTAGAAAAAAGAATCCTTCCAATCCTAATATAATTACAGTATATGTTCCAGTAAGTGAAAGCCATCTTTCTTGAATCTCAACTCAGGTACTGAGTCCATTTTTTTCTGTCAAATTTATCTGTTGGTTTTTCAATTTTGTTGGCCTCTAGGAATTTGTTTAGCGATTCCCCAAACTGTTTGCAATTAAAGGCTTTTTATAATATCAGAAAGTACAATTTTAGTAGCTAATGTAAGATTAATCATAAGAAGCTTTATCGTGAATAGCTTTTTATCCAAGGCAGTCTATAATGCAGTTGTCAGATCAAAAACCAAATGAACCAGGTTATTTGAAAAATAGCTAAAATTGTTGCAGCCAACAGTGACCAAAGTGTAAAAAGGGCCACCAAAGTTTGTTAGGATAAATGCATGTGACAATTATATTCTGCTATGTTTAATGGGACTTATAATAATAATTTATACCCCGCCCATCTGGCTGGGTTTCCCCAGCCACTCTTGGCAGCTTCCAGCAAAATATTAAAATACAATAATTACAGGAAGTTACTAGGAAGTGTGTTTGGGAATTCAGCCTAAGAAAAGCAAACTATAATATAGGACTAACCCACCCTTCCGCTTGTCCCGCCACTTTCCCCTGAAGAAACCTGCTCTTTACTGCTGAATTGGAGCAAACATCAATCAGGTTTTCTGCAGATTGACATTTGCTCCGATTCAGCAAACAGAAAACTGCTCGGGCACATACCTAGAAAGCACAAGACAAGAAGAAAACCTCTTGGGCTCCTGCTTTCTAGGCATAGAGCAAGTGAAGTGTGGACGAGCCCTTTCACAGAAATCAATAATACTAATGGCTGGTTCACATTCAAATGTGCAAACCCCACTAGTACACTTGGATCTTGGCCTCCCTTTAAAAGTTGGGAGCAAGAGTTTTCTTATGCTGAATGATGGATGGAATTCAATTTCTAAACTGGATGTTAAAGAAACAAGTTATGTTCTTGTGAACTGGTTCATGTTTCTTCCAAACCAGCAGCTTTAGTGAAGTATCAGCAGGAAAATTTGTCCCTAATACAAAAAAAGGGGGGGAGGGGAAGTCTGTGGATTTGGGCAGGTCTGTGCTGTACATTCTGAGTTTAACTGACAAACCCTTCATGTTAATACGATGATAAACAGGAAGAAGAGCTCAAAATCTTGTATTGTTACTATGACAGCCTAATTGAATGTTTATCTTTTTCTCTAATATATCAAATACATTCACCTTTCTATTTGAATCTTCCAAAATTTACATCCCTCACCCCCAGTAGCTGATGAAATTAAAGAAACAGCCCTACTGACAGTGCTCTTTTCTGTTAACGGATACTGGTGAAGAGTTAATTTCACCTTTGGACTGGAAATAAATATTTCCTTTCTTATAAGTAGTTAATCTTCAGCCTGATCCATAATATCTGTATTGGATGAATAGTCTGAAAATTGTTGTGCTCTGATTTAATGAACTATTTACAGTTCCAGAAATATTTGCAAAAGCATCCTGGTGTATTCAATACACATGCTTCCCAAAAAAAGTTGGAATGGTTTCAGCAGACAGTGTAATCTGCATCCCCTTTACTAATTTTAGTTAGCTCAGTTGGTTAGAGTGTAGTGCTGATAATGCCAAGTTGCAGGTTTGATTCCCATATGGGCCACTTAAATATTTTTGCATTGGGGGGGGGAGGGTTGGACTACATGGCCCTTGAGGTCCATTCCAGCTCTACAGTTCTACCCTGCTCAACATCAAAAAAACTAAGATCATGGCCACTGGTCCCATCACCTCCTGGCAAATAGAAGGGGAAGAAATGGAGGCAGTGAGAGATTTTACTTTCTTGGGCTCCATGAACGCTCCAAATGGTGACAGCAGTCACAAAATTAAAAGACACCTGCTTGTTGGGAGAAAAGCGATGACAAACCTAGACAGCATCTTAAAAAGCAGAGATATCACCTTACCAACAAAGGTCCGTATAGTTAAAGCTATGGTTTTCCCAGTAGCGATATATGGAAGTGAGAGCTGGACCATAAAGAAGGCTGATCGCCGAAGAATTGATGCTTTTGAATTATGGTGCTGGAGGAGACTCTTGAGAGTCCCATGGACTGCAAGAAGATCAAACCTATCCATTCTTAAGGAAATCAGCCCTGAGTGCTCACTGGAAGGACAGATTGTGAAGCTGAGGCTCTAATACTTTGGCCACCTCATGAGAAGAGAAGACTCCCTGGAAAAGACCCTGATGTTGGTAAAGATTGGGGGCAGAAGGAGAAGGGGACGACAGGACGAGATAGTTGGATAGTGTTCTTGAAGCTACTAACATGAGTTTGACCAAACTGCGGGAGGCAGTGGAAGACAGGAGTGCCTGGTGTGCTCTAGTCCATGGGGTCATGAAGAGTCGGACACGACTAAACAACTAAATAACATCAACAATATCTAAACCAGGTATGGGGAACTTGTGGCCTTCCAGATGTTGATTTCAGTTCCCATCATCATGTATGTTATGCTTGCTTTGGCTGATGTGGTTCCAGCTGGAGAGACACACAGTCTCCCATCGCTGACTTAAATGATCCCTAGTGCAACAGAATTATGTCATATACATGATTTTTGGAGGTAAAGTCTATGTATGTATTTTTGAGATATTTGGGTTTTTGAGATAAAGTGTAATGACAGCAAAGTTAACCATTATAAATAAGAATACTATTTAAAAATATGCAGCCAGATTTTTGGCTGCTACTTGGCACCTGTACATACTCTGATTTCGTATTTCCTTAGAACGGAAATATTTGCCTATACCTACAGGGCAAAGTTACTGGCAATTTATCATATATAAGAAGCCTGACAACTTATTCTTTGTTTTATGAGTAGATACATGATCCTTAAAACTTGCTGCGAATATATTGGTTAGCAATGAAGTTTCTGATTGCGGTGATTCAGAGCACACAATACTAGAGAATAAATTCTTACATGGCATCCACAATGTCCTTGCAAAAGAAAAATGAAAGTGAAATTACAATACTGCAATAAAATGCAAGCATAGGCTATAGCAGTGCATTGGATTTATAATGGTAAACTAACAAATGGTAAAGGAAGTTCTGGCTTCCTGTAGGAAGTTATACCCTAATTCTAAAACCTTTACCTGGAAACTAATGAAACTGTCAGTAATTCATACTAATATATAGAATCTTGGATTGGATTCACAACCTCTCTTCCTAATGCAATAGCAGAGTAGCAACTGGAATGAGTAAAACAACACTGCTGCAATTCAGTTTCATATCTTGTACAACTCCCACCACATTCTAAGGTATCCCAGGGCATTGAATTTCCAGCAATGGGGTGGCCCATGGAAATGGTCAATGTCAACTGTTGGAGCACATCAGCAGTTTTTTGTTTTTCTTCGTTGTTTTGGAACAAAGCAACTAATTACCTCAGGCAAAGTTGAGATGTGTCAGGGAAAGGTTCAGGGAAGAGATGAGTCAATTGCATGGTGGGGCCCCGGGCCCCGCAGTTCCCCTCAGAAATAAACACACAGACACAAATACATTGGGTTAATGGGATAGATTGGGCCACAACTTTATTGGTTACAGATGTGAGCGGTTTGGCTTAGGCATTTGGGTGAAGTCAGACTATATCCTGACTCCTGCCCATCTGTAGGACGTCTCTAAAGGGTCAACCACCGATAGGGGGAGCCCTATGATATACATCAATTAGGAGCACTCCCAGGGTCACTGATGGGGTCGGGGCATGGCCTTAGCCCACACCCAGGCTTTGGACAGGAACCACACTCCCAGATCCCCTTAACAAGGGGGGGGGGGCAGGTAGAGGCAACAGCCTCCCCTCCCATAAACAAGACTCACCCAATGCCTAACATTACAAAGTTGTGACGATGGCCCAAGGTAAGTGAAAACCAAATGGCTGGTGCCAATTTGCCAAGTGGAAAAATTCCTACCTGGCCCCCACAACCACATGGCCTACATTAGTCCATAGCAAGGCCAAAAGTCAAGCAATGCAAAAAAGAGAGGGTGAGTGGGCTGGGAGATCTGATGAGAAGGCGAATGGAGACTGCACCCCAGCCACACTGCGGTTTAAACGGCAAGCGGCCACGCTCCCCGGCTAACCCGATTGGTCAGCTGGGGGGCATGACGCAGCTGGGAGCCCTAATGACCTGGACAGCATCCCTCCACCCACTTCCAGGTCACTGGGAGGTCCTCCCTCAATGCCCCCCCCCGTGAAGTGGAGCGGTCCTATCTGCATTCTGAAGCAATTTTAGCTTTTCATGGAATCATTTGTACTACTTGGCTTTAACAACTTACCTTGCATAGAATGTTCCCCTATTTGCTGCATGAGTGCAAGCCAGTCTGTGCTCTGTTGCACCACCATGATACTTGACATTGGTTTTATCTGTATTAGGAATTAAAAATAAAAAAGGAATTCTATCAAAGGCTGCAGTCCTTGGGATGCAGTGGAGGAGAGTGCTATTGATATGACTCTGCCTAAGTGAGTAGGTAGCAATCACCGGTAGCTAATGGAAAACCCCCAAATGGGTTCTTAGGGGCATATTATGGGGCAGGGTGCTGGAGGCTTTGGATGTGGGAACTAAATACTGCAGTTCATTCAACAGGCTCAATCTTTAAGATCCTCAGCAGGTTGAGCTCTGGAGCTGGTGCAGCAAAAATGAACAATACCCAGTGCTGCTAGCTGTGCGAAGCAACAAATCTTGTACCTTCTCCACATTAGTGAATTTCCTTAGTTCACCTAAGACATTGTCAGCATTTATGCTTCTCACATACCCCAGGCAGAATGGCCATGGAGATTCAGGCCCATCAGCCAAAGTTTTCTTCCATTCTGCAACGCAGCATTTGGGGTGACCTCATTCTCTATGCACATAAATTTGCATTCAGTACTGAAATGAGTAACAAACCTTGCGCCTCACTTTCTAACCTGACCAGCAGGATCTGGCAGGGCTTTGAATGTGGCAGTGGCTCTACTACTACAATCTCCCCTAGCCTCCCTTAGGACTCCATGCAGTCAGTACCAATATTCCATATAGTTCTTTTCGTATTAGCTGCTCCCAGCTTCCAAGTGAAGAAGGCAGAAAAAGCCAAAGGATTCATTTATACCTGGGGGTTGCTTTCCTCCAAACGCCTTCTCGTTCTTTCCCCAAAGACTGAAATGCTGCTGGAGAGCTGGGTGCTGACAGATCTAAGAGACCTGCTGAATATATTACATTACCGTAGTAACTCAAGCCTCTTTCAAGACTTGACAGAACAAGTGAAATTTCCTGCAGTTATTTTGTGCTATGCTACATTCTGCCTTATCAAGAAAGTTGACCTTTCTGGCTTCAAAGTGAAACTCTCTCTTCAAAGCAAGAATGTTTGGGAAGAAAAACCCAAGCAATTAGAAAGACAAAACTCAACACAAATATCGGTATTTACCCTTTATTGAGTGATCACCTTAATTTTTATTGAAGCAGGCTCTCACTTTCTTTTAGAGGTAGGCAGTGTTGTCAGCATTTATGCTTCTCACATACCCCAGGCAGAAGAACATTTTGGCTGTCAAGATTCAGGCCTATTTCAGTCATCAGCAAAAGTCTCTCTCTCTCTCTCTCTCTCTCTCTCTCTCACACACACACACACACACAGAGAGAGAGAGAGAGAGAGAGAGAGAGAGAGAGAGAGACTGTATTTAGGAATAATAGGTTTGGCAGATATTAAAAACTCATTGACTTTAAAAAAAAAACCTATTTGAGGATTCTCTCTGTTTGTGCAGATAAGTTCATAACATAATAAGAGGTCTGCTGGATCAAGCTAAAACCCACCTAATCCAACATCCTGTTTTCACAGTGCCCAGTATGCCTGTGGGAAATTCACTGGCAGAAAAATGAGACCAACATTTTCCTCAGTTGTGATTCCCAGTAACTGGTACACCTGCCAGACTGTCTCCGGTACTAGAGGCAATAAATGGCTATCATGACTAGGGATGGATTTTCTCTTCTGTACCTGTTTGTCATCTGTGTACTTTATGGTAACTCAAACTCAGTCTGCTGCAGTTTGCATTTCATTAAGCTTATATGATCTTCTCCCATCTGGTGGTTTGCAACAATTACAATGGTTTTTGACCCTTCTGACAGTGTTTCAAGTGTTGCTTCCAGAATAGGTACTGATATTTACAATACAGTGGTACCTTGGGTTACAGACGCTTCTGGTTACAGACTCTGCTAACCCAGAAATAGTACCTCAGGTTAAGAATTTTGCTTCAGGATGAGAACAGAAATGGCGCAGTGGTGGTGCAGCGGCAGCGGAAGGCCCCATTAGCTAAAGTGGTACCTCAGGTTAAGAACAGTTTCAGGTTAAGAACGGACCACCAGAGCAAATTAAGTTCTTAACCCGAGGTACCACTGTACTGTTGTTGTTATTCATTGTCCATCATCAAGTAGCCATTTGTATGCCCTATGGGATATTGTTATTTGTTTGTCTTGCAGTGCTATCTTAATTTTGTCATGCCCCTTTCTCCTTTCTATGTTTTTAAAGGGCTTGTGCACAAAGTACTTTGAGTAAAGTACTTTGCCTTACTATTTTGCTCTTTTTAAAGTTTACTCAATCATTGATCCTCCCTCCCCCCCCCCCCGTTTCTCTTTTTCTTTTACTATACTTGCAGTGCTGCACTCTCTTCTGTTGGCTTTACAGTTACATAGTATGATTGTGAAGTGTGACACAACCCCAAATGGCTAAAGCTGGATCTACCACCCAGTGCAGTAATTAATTGTATAAATAATTTTTTTTTGCTTCTATCTACCATCCTTTCCTTCAGTCTCCCCTCATGCTATGTGCTGCATAAAGTCATCAACTGGCTCTTTCTTTCTTTTGTCCCTGTTCTGTTCCAACAGCCCATTTAGGAATATGTTCCCATTTCCTCTGTTTAAGTAACTTTCCTTATTGAGGAGAAAGCTAATGTCCCCACTTGCCCTATACATTTATAGCACTTTAAACAGCCACAGGTTCTCCCAGACTCTTGAGAATTGTAATAAACTGCAGTTCCCAGGATTCTTGTGGGGTGGACTGGGGAGCTGTGACTTTTAAGTGGTATGATACTGTTTTAAATGTATAGTGCAGATGGGGCCTAGATTTATGTGCATTCATGTTGTGCATGTGTGTGTGGGGAGCTAAATCAGGAAATGGGGATGGGGAAAGGAGCTTTAATGCATTGCCCCTGCTGCATTAGGGATCCCATGCCTGCTGTTGATGATAAGAAGAAAACTCCCAGTGGTGAACGTTAAAAATACCATCCGTTCCACCCAAACTAGCCCAAATGTTTTTAAAACGCACCAACAGCAGAATACTTTTCAAACATTCTCCCTCTTGTAATATTTGTGTCCCATACTCATACAGCTGATGCTAATTTCCCCCAATGTGCCATCAAGGTGCCTACAAATCCCAGAAGATATTGAGGAAGCAGCAGTAAGAAGAAACCCAGTTTAGAAGAGAGGGAAGGAGTCTCGTGGGCTGTGACTATATAGGTTCTACCCAGTAGACCTGATAACAAATATCAATGCTGGTAAATACTGCAGTTTCATGAGATTGAGCTGTGGAGCTTTATGGGAAAACGAGATCAACAGACACAAGTCAATTCTATTAAAAAGACTCCTCTGAGGCCACTGAAGGATAATACCTTTATCGTGTTTCTTTCCCTACAGCATTGCAAAAATGACTATGAGATTACCATCTCAACAGTGTAATGAGAAGGGGTTAAGTCTGTAGTGTTCCCCATTTGATTACATTCCATTAAAATCTGTGTCATAGGAACGAAAGAAGCTGGGTGAAATCATTGCCCCATTTAAGTCAATTGGCGCTTTGAGATAGAAATCAATGCACTTGAGTTTTAGCCTTGACATCATTCAGTGTTTTGTTTTTAATTTTCTTGCATGAAAATAGATGCACGGCTAAGTTCAGCTTTATTGGATTTGTATTAAATCTGAGTATTTACCAGCCCAAAATTTAGCTCCTAAAAAATAATACCACTCAAAGTGACAATGGAGAAAAGGGTATGACACATACTTAACTATTCCCTTGGAGGTTTGGGCTAAAAAATGATAGCCATTTTCAGTCTGGTTGTATATCTGGTCCATTGAGCAAAATGGTCACAGCCCTTCCTTACTGCCAGGCAAAGGCATTGTTGTGTCACAATGATTCTCCACATATTTTCACTCTTTATTTAATTCATTTCGTGTATAAGGGTCAATACACACAATACTTTTTTTAGTTATGATAGATGCATAAGTAATAAATAGCCATACCTATGTAATAAACGGAGCCTGCTATCTCGCCTACAATCTTATTCGTGTTCTAGAAGGGAGTACATCAATTGGCCTATGTGTCATACCCATACCATCATAACACCTGTTTTGTCAGGAGCTTGTCCTACACTCGAGTAGGACCCTGGCAGAGACACATGCCCGACTGGCATGTTCTCTCCCTCCTGGTCAATCGTTTGGGAGCTTCAAAAGCTTTCTTCAGCCTGAACATCACAGCGACCGATGCCAACAGACATCGGCACACTTAGGGATCTGCAGAGTCTTTGCAGCTTGCATAACAGACCCCAGCAACTCAGCATTTTGGCTAATCTACTTTATTTACATATAAACACACACGGAGCACTGCAACATGGCTCCCTCTCTCTTTAGCATCAGACAGCAAAGAGAAAGAACAAAGGACACTAGCCCCACTTCACGGAACACAGTAACACAAACATCCTGTTCTGTCACTTCCCACTTTGTGGAGTCAAAACATGCACCATCATGTGATAGACAAAAATCCCATGACTGCAATCATGGAGCAGGAATTCTAACACATAACACCTGTATCCCTCATGCTCAAAATAGAAATAAGTCATACCAATCAAGTAGGCTGTACTCCCTGAGAGTATACAGCAATAAGGGCATTTTTCAAAGGTCTTCATTGTCTCTGGTTCCATCTCAGCTCTATTTTCCACAATGACAGCATTTCCCAGAATGCACTTGGACCCAGATCCATGCACCCATGTAGACACAGTAGTGTGAGTTTAAAATGATGAACAATATTTATTAGATATAATTAAGGATCTGTGGAGGGAAAAACTTGATAAATGCTCCTATAAGTCTGAGTGCTATGAAAATTAAACCAACTCAGATTAGGCTACCTTGGCTTAAGTACCCAGAGTAGCTAACTATCTACTCATGGCCCGTCATTGCCAACACATCCATTGTTCCTAGGAAATTCTGTTCAGGTCATCCTTCTGCTCCAGCTTTGAGGCACTGGTATCTGTGAGCTGAGCAGTCCTGAAAGTGAGATCCTGTCCCCATGGGTAAATCTGAGGAAGCCCCCTTTGTATTTTAGAATGTGCTACAAGGTGCTCAACAGATTTCCTTCCCCTAACTCCTCACTGGCTCAGCCAGACAACAATTAGATCTATTAGATCTATTAAACAGTGTGACACAGGCAAAACAGCAACAACCTCCCAGCACTGTTGAAGGCCAATCAGGACACTGAAAGGGAAAAATCCCTACATGGTTCCGAAATTGGCAACTGGCAAAACCCAAGCTGAGGGAAAGGGGTAGAGTGTGGTTGCTGCTGAAGGCCAAACTGAAAAGACAGAGGGGAGGAGCAAGAGCCAGATTAATAAGACAACCCTGCGCACCTCACCAGGTAGACTCAACACCTGCACATGGCCTGTAGGGTCATACTCCATCAGTGATGGGCCAGGTGTAAAAGGGTCCCCTCAACAGCTGAGCCTAGGTGGGGGAGTGGATATCAGTTCTCTGAATTTTGGTGCCATGCATTGCTTGATCTGGATTGAGGAAAAGTTCTGGTAGAACATAGAGAAGCTGTGCAGTACATACTTTCAAGGGCACAGTGGAAATCACAGAAATTGATAAAGTTATTTTAGCAGCTGGTTGTAACTAATCTCATCAGTTTGACTCTCTTATTTAGAAACATGGTCCTTAAGGAAAAGTAGCATTAATATTCCAGCCTTGTTGTGCACAATAAAGCTGTAATAAAAATCAGATATTGTTTTAAGAAGAGCTGAACTCCCTTCCAATGATTTTTAAGGAAGAAATAATCACCCAGGCAATAAAATTATGCAATACATTTAAGAAACAGTTTGTGTGACTTTGACAAAATAAGAAAGAATTTTTCCGAGAGCAACAAATAGGAGATGCAGAAACCATACACCTGGGATTTAGGCAGTCTTGGTCCTAACAGGAAAGTTCTTTAATTTACATTTTAAGTGCTCATCAAGCTAACAGGCAATGAAGTCAGAAGAATGAATGTGTAATAATTTTCCTTTCTCTTGGAGCAGCATAGAAGGGGAAACCCTTCAAGGTCAGATAATTTTAAAAATTCTAATGGCTTTATACTTGCACATGAAAATAAAGTATATGCAATTTAGAAAACAGAGTGGGAGGCTGTGACTGTCCTATGTCTTTATGTTCTTCAATATCTATTTTTAGCACACCTGAGACATTTCTATGACTGTATCATTTTGGTTAGAGGGTGACTAGCTTTGCATAATTGTTAACCTCCAAGGCCTGGACCCAAAGAGCGTCTTAATTATTATTGCAGTGGAATTCCAACATACCACTGGAGCTTCAACATTCAATCCCCACCCCTGCAGTTCCTTGAGTTGCATTACAGCATCTTCCAAA